TTGTCACTGTGGGTCCCCATGGGAAACTCATGAAAATRGAAATGGGTCAGGGTTCGATAGGGAAGAAGAAAATTAGGAGTCACCCAGTTTTTTATGTCTTCAAGACATGCTTGTAATCTAATTAACTGACTGGATTAATCAAGTTTCATGGATAAATAGAACATTMTCAGTAGAGTATCATCAGCATAACATTGGCCCTCACATAGCATTTTTTAAGGAATACTAGACTTTTTTTTTTATCAGTATTCATAGGAAGCCGGCTCAGGCAGTAAAGGCAACTTGATAAGAAAACCTGCTGAATGGTAAAAGGAAACCAGTGGTTTTCACTCATGAAAACTTCAAACAAACCAAAACTATCTAAGTATTTCTGTCTAAATCATTGAGTTGTTTGAAACCAAGACAGGCCATTTAACCTGATATAAGAAGTTAGGCATGCATGTCTGCTTGAGAGAAATTCATGCAAGATACATTAAAACCAGTTAGAAACTAGGTCATACTTACAAACCATATTTCATTTGATGTTCGCAAATAATGGAAAATTCAATATTTATGAGAAGATTAGTATTGCAGTCCCTCATTTTCATAAGAAGGAACAAAAAAGCATCAACACAGCTGAGACCCTGTTAAAAAGCTATTTATCTTGTCTTTTRCTAATTGCTCTCATTTATTTGGCAATTTGAAAGCCCCAATTCAGATTTAATAACTAGTTTTAATTGATTTATGTTGGAGATATTAATCTTTCTCTGTTGGATGAGATTACATGAATGATGTGTTACAACTTTGCTTGAAGTGATCTGTAGTTTCAGCAGAGTGTGGCGTTAATGCTTTCTGCAGCTGTAAAAAGGACTCCAGCACTAATCCTCATGATGGTCCTAACAAAATCACAGAAAATACCTTTAAATCTTCTCGTRTAATATCAGAATTTAATGGTGTGTACACAAATAATATGTTTATTTAAACCAATTAAAATGTCCAAGATAAGACTGGGTAATTATTTTGTTCCACACAGAAAACACATCGACAAAGATACTAGATTAATGGTTTTCATGAAAGCAAGTACAAAAAYCCCCAAGTCTTGCCTCTCATCTCACAAAGTGAACATATTAGAAATGTTGTCTACAATTAGCAAGCACAGACCATAAAATGGTCGGTTATGAAAAGCCACAATCTTCTTGTTCTTGTCATATATTTACTGCATTTTAGACCCTCTTCCCTGAATTTTTATTTAAACGTTTTTTTAGAACAACACAACAAAGCACAGTGACTCAGTTGGTAAAGCTGTTGCCTCTCAGCAAGAAGGTTGTCAGATCGAATCCCAGTTGGGGATTTTTCTGGGTAGCGTTTGCATGTTCTCTCTGAGTGTATGGGTATTCTCCAGGTACTCCGGTTTCCTCGCACAGACCAAAAACATAACAGGCTAATTGGTAACTTTAAATTTTCCCTAGGTGTGAGTGGATGCTTGTTTGTCTCAAAGCATTCCTGTGATGGAGTTGCAACCTGTCCAGGATRTACCCCGCCCCTCTAACAGTAACTGCTGGATATAGGCACCAATGACCCCTGCGACTCTGAAAGGAAGAATTGGGTAAAAGATATTAGATGGATGTACATAATAAACGTGAAGTGGTGTTTACTTTATGTTCACTGTCTTTTTTACTAAGCTGTGTTTTAACAAACTGAAAAAACAGGTTTTGCTYCATGAATGCCAAACTATATTAGAGACGTACTTTTCTAGCTAACAGCTGGCCCCAAGCAAGTTGTACACAGCAGGTTTATCTGAAGAGTTTTGCTGCTTACTGCAGTTAAAAGCGTGTCAAAGAAGCAATTTAAAATGAACACGCACACACCTCCTTGTACTTTCATCAAACTGAGGACATTGTATTGACTTCCATTCATTTTTGCAACTGTATTTATGCCTAACCCAGACATTTTCCTTAAAATTAACCATTACTGGTCTATAGCTAACACTAACCTAGACTGGTTTAAACCAGACCCTGTCCTTCGCTTTGCTTCGCACAAGGGTCTGGACTTGATGCATAGAGAATCGATTTCTTGCAGGAGG